AGCACAGTATTCTGCTGCTGCTGTATGCGTATAGGCTTGGTTGTGCTTCCCTGTTTCTCTCCTTGCTTTGATCGAATCGTGCCCTGTAACAATGTGCTCCTCCCTTTAGCTGTCTGGCTGTCTGTTACTGTTCCTGGGTGACTTACTGGCTCGCGCGTATGTGTGGTGTGGACACCCATCTGTTTCCGCGTGCCTTCCCTGTGCAGGCCCCATACATCCTGAGCATGAAATCTTCATGCCCATCTTTGCAGCTCTGGGCGGTCAACTCATGGCCCAGGCAGAGGTGCGTTTGCACATGGGTGCATGATGGCATGGGTGCATGATGGCATGGGTGCATGATGGCATGGGTGCATGATGGCATGGGTGCTTGATGGCATGGGTGCTTGATGGCATGGAAGCTTGATGGCGTGGGTGCGTGATGACATGGGTGCATGATGGCATGGAAGCTCGATGGCATGGGTGCGTGATGACATGGGTGCTTGATGGCATGGGTGCGTGAGGGTATGGGTGCATGATGTCATGTCTCATGCGTGGTTTTGTAATAGCATGGCTCATTCCCAGGTGCGTGATGACATGATTCTAGGTGCAGTCACGACTTACCTCTGAGTAATCTGATATGCATCCATTGCATTCTTCACTTTCGTCTCATCATTCACCCAACACCTCCCCCCTCTTCCCCTTCACCGTTCTCTTTCCCCTCCCCACACCGCCCCTGAAACACCTCATGGCAGGGCTTTGCGCGGGCAGAGAAGGACGTGGTAGCACTGCATCCAGAGCACCTGCTGGAGCAGGCGATAGCAAGCACACCTCTTCTTTTTACTTCCGTCTTGTCATTTCCCAACCAACCAACCCCCCCACCCTCTTCCCTCCCTCCCCCGTCTCCTCCTCCTCCTCGCAGGGCTTTGCGCGGGCAGAGAAGGACGTAGTGGCGTTGGACCCAGAGCACCTGCTGGAGCAGCAGGGCCTCCTCGAGTTCCCCATTCTCAGCCACGGCACCCGCTCCCCAATCGTGGGCAGAGGCAGCAGCGGCGGCAGCAGCAGCAAGCTGCTCACCCGCTTCAGCAGCATGACGCGGAGGCATAGTGACAGCGGGGGAAGTCTGAGACTGAGTGAACTTGGGAGTGTGAGGAGGGGGAGCATGGCAAACGAAGGAGAGGATGAGTTTGATAGGAGCAGTGGTGTGGGTTCCTTAGAGGAGTTTGACAGTACGAGTGATGTGAGGAGGCCGTTTTACTGCTGTCTGCAGGTGATCTCAGATCCTCTGGCACACAGTGCGAGCAACGGGCTGTATGAGGAGTTCACTCTGTCCTTCGTGCCCCCTGTGGCCATTCAAAACGGGCTGCCATACGACTTGGAGGCATTTGTGTGGGATGTGGAGTGGGGCACGCGGCACATCGTCTACGTGCCTTCTGGTCAGTTCCGCCTCCTGTAGCCACTGCCACTGCTGCTGCTACACTGCAACACTTCCGCTTTTAGTGCTGCTTCCTTTTGCTTCAATCTCTGCTTGCTCTCCGTCTGCCTCCAGTCTTAACCCAACCTGTTCTTGTAAATGGCCATACATTCTCCTCGCTTGGTTCTCATCTTTTTTGTCCCCCCCAACCCCATCAGGCGAGTCCCGAGACCTCTACCACGTCAGCCTGGACCACACGCTGCAGATGCACATCGCGGTGAGCCTCTTTGCGCCTCACTGTTGTTTTGGTAAATTTTGATCAATTGCGAGTGAAGAATGCAAGTAGTGGTCGTCAAAATGCCAATGGATCCCTCTTGGGTCACCTCGTGTGGCCTTTTCATGTTTCCATTCTCCCCCGTGTCTGTCCGGTTATTGCTGCAGCTCTTCGTGCCAGGAGGGGAGTACAGAACGCGCCGCCGGTACCCCATCCACTTCCCTCCCAAGTGAGCTATCTTCCCAGCCCCAGAGCCCTCTCATTGCGCTCCACAGGCATCACAACCCACTTCAGTCCTAGAGATTCCTGTCTTCGCCTATCATTTCTTCCTTCTCTTCATCATGCAGTCATCTCACCTGCTCGCTCCTTGTGACTTCACCATGCGCCCGTTTCCATGATAAGATGATTTCATTGTGTTTGGATAACCTCACTCCCTCTCCCATCGTGTTCTCCAAACTCCCATCCCCTTCCCTCCCCCCCTTTCCCCTCCCCCTCCACACTCTCGTCAATCCCCCTTGCCAGCCCCCTGCTCCAGAAGCAGTTTGGCAGCCGAGCCTTTGCTTACGACGTCCGCACTCTCCGCCTGGCAGTCAAGTGCCGCCTCTTCCCACAGCACTCCCCTGCAGCCTCGCCCATCACCCTCTCCATCGACAACCGCCACAACTGGCAGTCACGCAACCGCAGCATTTCTTTGCTCGCGCACTACTGGGTCATCAACCTCACCAAGTTCCGCCTCAAGCTTTCCACTGGATCCTCCCAGAACCCTCTCGACTGCCCGCGCTATCAGGAGGGCCAGCCGGCCCTGCTGAATGTGCGCCGCGGGGCGATCACTGCGATCAGCTTGGATGGGTTTCATTGGTCGAAGTCGATCTCGATAGATTCTGTCGGGATCAAGGGGTCGGTTGCGGTTGCAGGGCCTGCGTCCACAGCGTCACAGCACCACCAGCATCACTCACACCCAGATCATGATTTGATGCGGCCGCAGACGACCGAGGAGTGGGAGAACGTGGTTCAGCTGGAAGCTCCTGCTGGCGCTCCCTCCCGCCGCACCACTGCCATGTCACCTTTCCCAGTCAGTTTCTCTACTGCTTCTGGCCTTTTCAACTGCTTTAGCAGATGCCTGAACACCTCCATTCTCCCTCTATGCCCCCTTCTCCCCTTCGCCCATCTGCCTCCCTCTTCAAACCCTCCCATTCACCACAACTCCACGCGCCACACCACCTCCGCCATGTCACCATTCCCACTCAGTGTCTCTGCCTTCTCGGCATCTCTGAATGCTTCGGCAATTATCACCTCCAGGCCCATTCTCTGAATGGACCAAGTCGCGCGCGCAAACCAAGGCGCGCGCGCGGGACCGAGTCGCGTGCGCGCACGGACCGAGTGGCGCAAGCGCGCAGACCAAAAGGCGCGCTGCGCGCGGACCAAGTGGCGCGCAGCGCGGACCAAGTGGCGCGCAGCGCGGACCAAGTAGCGCGCGCCGCGCGCGGACCAAGTGGTGCGCGCGCGCGGACCAAGGGGCGCGCCCACGCGGACCAAGGGGCGCGCCCCACGCGGACCAAGGGGCGCGCCCGCGCGGACCAAGGGGTGCGCGCGCGGACCAAGTGGCGCTCGGCGCGCGCGTGCGGGACCAAGTGGCGCGTGCGGACCAAGTGGCGCGCTGCGCGTGCGGACCAAGGAGCGCTGCGCGCGTGCAGACCAAGTAATGCGCGAGCGCGCGGACCAAGGGACGCGCGCGCGCGCGCGGAACAAGAAGCGCGCGCGCGCGGACCAAGTGGCGCAAGCGCGCGCACCAAGGAGCGCGCGCGCGGGACCAAGTAGCGCGCACGCGTGGACCAAGTGGTGGCGCGCGCGGACCAAGTGGTGCGCGCGCGCGGACCAAGGGGCGCGCCCGCGCAGACCAAGGGGCGCGCACGCGGACCAAGGTGACGCGGCGGCGCGCGGACCAAGTGGCGCGCAGCGCGGACCAAGTGGCGCACCCGCGCGGACCAAGGGGCGCGCGCGCGCTGTGGACCAAGGGGCGCGCGTGCGCGGACCAAGTGGCGCGCCCGCGCGGACCAAGTGGCGCGCGTGCGCGGACCAAGTAGCGCGCCCGCGTGGACCAAGTGGCGCGCGCGGACACCAATTGGCGTGCGCGTGCATGCGGACCAAGTGGCGCGCGCGCATGCGGACCAAGTGGCGCGCGCGCGCATAGCGGACCAGGTGGCGCACGCGCGCGCGGACCAAGTGGCGCGCGCGCGCGCGCGGACCAAGGCGCACGCAGCGTGGACCAAGTAATGCGCGCGCTGCGCGGACCAAGTGACAAGTGCGCGCGCGTGGACCAAGGGGGCGCGCACGTGCGCGGACCAAGAAATGCGCGCGCGCGGACCAAGGGGCGCGCCCGCGCGAACCCAAGAGCGCGCGCGCGCGGACCAAGTGGCGCGCGCCGCGCGCGGACCAAGGGGCGCGCCCCGCAGCGCGGACCAAGGGGCGCGCCTACGCGGACCAAGTGGCGCACCCGCGCGTGACCAAGGGCTGCGGCCCGCGTGGACCAAGGGGCGCGCACACGCGGACCAAGTGGCGCGCAGCGCAGACCAAGGGCCGCGCACGCGCGTGGACCAAGGGGCTCGCGCGCGCGGACCATGTGGCGCGCGCGCGGACCAAGTGGCGCGCGCGCCGCGGACCAAGTGGCGTGCGCGTGCGGACCAAGGGGCGCGGCGCGCCCGCGCACCGGACCAAAGGGCGCGCCCGCGCGAACCAAGGGGCGTGCCCGCGCGAACCAAGGGGCGCACGTGCGCGGACCAAGTGGTGCGCAACGCGGACCAAGGAGCGCGCACGAAGCGCGCGGACCAAGTGGCGCGCGCGGCGCGGACCAAGTGGCGCCCGCGCGGACCAAGTGGCGCGCGCGTGCGGACAAGGGGCGCGCCCGCGCGGACCAAGTGGCGCGTGTGCCCGTGCGAACCAAGTGGCGCGCGCGCGCGGACCAAGCAGACCAAGGGGCGCGCGCGGACCAAGTGGCGCGCGCAGCGCGGACCAAGTGGCGTGCGCGCGCGGACCAAGTGGCGCGCAGCGCGGACCAAGTGGCGCGCGCGCGCGGACCAAGGGGCGCGCGCCTGCGCGGACCAAGGGGCGCGTGCACGGACCAAGGGGCGCGCACGCGCGCGGACAAAGTAGCGCGCGCGCGCGAATCAAGGGGCGCGTGCGCGGACCAAGGCGCGCGCGCGCGGACCAAGCAGCGCGCCCAGCGCGCGCGGACCAAGTGGAGCAAGCGCTCGCAGACCAAGTGGCGCGTGCGCGGACCAAGTTCCTTCACCCACCTTCCTCCCTCTTCACCCATCGCCTACCATTCACCACAAAGTCCGCCCACCCCACAAAAAAACATATGAATGCACACATACACGACAACTTCAGCTGCCCTCCCCGTTTCTGCTCTCCATCTTCTCTCCACCCTCGCCACGCTTGCACCAGACCAGATCAGCACTCACCCCAAACGAGCCCTTACCCCAGATGCACATCCTCCCCTTCTCTCCCACTCTCCCCAGACCCTTCGGCGCTTTGAGTTTGGGGTGGAGGTGCGGCTGGCGCCATCACTGTGTGAGGGCACCAAGCTCGTCATCATCTCTCCTCGCTTTATGGTCTCGAATCAGACCGGCCAGCCCATGCAGATTGCCCAGATCGGTACCTCCACTGCGCGGGTAAATACACCATTTCTCCTTTGCCCTTTCGCCAATATACCCCCTGCTGTGTGCGCCAGTATCAACATGGCACTTTGATTTTCTCCCTGTTTGGGCTCGGGACTGCACGCACTGCCCTGCGCTCCCCTGCTGCATTTGACTTAATTAATCTCAGTGTCTGTGTCTGTGGCCTTTCCTCCGGCAGGTTCTGGCGGACAAGGTGCGGCAGCCGTTCCACTGGGATGACGAGAAGCTCGGCACGTACCTGGTGGCTCGGTTGCTGAGCAGCGAGCAGGAGGAGGATGATGTGGATGATGGCGCAGAGGAGGGGCCGGAGGAGGGGGAGGAGGAGGATGGGGTCAGCTTTAGTTCTGATGGAGAGCACAGTGAGGGGGAAGAGGAGGGCGAGAGAGGGGAGGGAGTGGGGGAGAAACACGCAGTGGATGAGGTGCGAGGGATGCAGAGGTTGCGGAGGGACTCAGAGGATTCGGTTGTGTCGTGTGAGTCAATGGAGGGTAGAGAGCAGGTGCAGGCAGGGGCGAGCAGCATTAGGTCTGGAGGCTCCGATGATAAGAAGATGGGGTTGCTTAAGGGCCAGGAGGGGACCGGGGCTAGTGTCAGGTTGCAGGACAGTGGTAGTGACGGGCAGCAGCAGCAGCAACCCCACAGCGGCGACAGGGGCAGCAGAAGTAAGCAGGTGGAGAACGATAGCAGTAGAAAGGGGGATGGAAGCTCGGGGAAGGGAGAAGGAAGCAGTAGGCGCTTGGGCGGGAGCAGCAAGTCATCAGAAAAGAGCGTCAGTCGCACAGAGAACGGAGCGGGCAGCGAAGGCGGGCGTACATCCCAGAAGAAGAGTGCAGGGAAGGGGCGGCGGAGCAAAGGAGGGGAGATGGACGTGGACTGGGACTGGTCTGGTGCGTTTGATATCGACAAGCCGGGTGAATCAGCAGTGCGCATCAGGCACAGGCGCAAGAGGGGAAAGTACGCCATACTCTCCATCGACGTCTCACTGAACGGCGCCTCTGCTCTCGTCACGTTTGGCATCTGCGGCTCCAAGCACAAGCCTCCACCCTATCGGTACGTGCCGTGCCGCCCTTGCTTCCTGGACTTGCTTCCTTGAATTGCACATGCCGGTTGACCTCTCCCTTGCGGGCCTTTTATTCTAGTCCCTTTCTTTGGACCTGGGCCTCCTAGTCACGTGCCTGCAGAATGGTGCTTCCTTGTGCCGGGGTTCCTGCATGATATAGCTCCCGAAGGACCGTATCTTCACACGACTCATTCCATGCATGATGTGTCGTTTCTTCTCGTTCCAATTCACGTGGCATGGCAGCATTGAGAACCGCTCGGCCTTCATGAGCATCAAGTACGGGCAGCTCACCACCCCCACGCGGCAAAGGCTGCCTCCCAACCACTCCACCAACTACGCCTGGGACCAGGTGTGTCTCAAGATGGACCAGCAGTACACCTGTAAAGTGCCTCGATTGTCTCTCAAATCTCTCAGATGCGGTAAGGGGAAGTGGGAGCAGTTGATGTTTTCCTGGTAATTACTGTAGTTGGAACCGACACACCACACCCGTCCACTACCAAGCAAATGCAGTATCCTGGATACGGGAGGAGTCAATCACGCTCCTCTCATCCTGAAAGTGATTTACTCAGCAGCCTTTTTTGCTGTTCATCTGAATCTGATAGTCATTCAGACACATTCCCGCCTCCCTCCCCCTCCCCTCCCTTCCCTTGCTGTGGCCAGCCGCGCATGGCCCAGCTGCTGCAGGTGGAGATAGAGGGGTTCGGCGTGACACGCGAGTACGATCTGGACGGCATCCGCGAGCTGCCCACCATCATCCTCTCAGAAGACGACTTCACTGGCAACGCATCGCTGAGAGACAGGTAGGCGTAGGCCTCACTGGTGAAATGAGCCAAACCAAATAGTCATGGGCTGGGGCTGGGGTACAATTTGGACGGCATCCTCGAGCTGTCCACCATCATCCTCTCAGAAGACGACTTCACTGGCTGGTGAAGTGAGACGAAGTGGTAAGGAGGAAGGGTAGAGACTGGAGGAAGGGGGTTTATGAACTGGACCGCATTTAGGAGCTGCCATTTTCAAAACAGACTCCAGTACCCGCCTCCCTTCTCACCCTTCCAACTCACCCTTCTGTCCCTTCGCCCCACTCTCTTTTCTTGCCCCAATCTGCCCCACAGGATGTTTGTGATGGTGGGGACGCATGCTCGAGCTGTGGCAGCGCTGTACGTGAACGTGTATGCAGACGGAGCCACCAGAGTGCTCTCATTCTCCGACACCAAACACACCTCCAAGTGAGCCCCTTCATTTAGGCACCAAACACGCTTCCGATTGAGCCCTTTGATTTAGGCACCAAACACACTTCCGAGTGAGAAATACTGCCTCATTCTGTCAACTCCACGTGACCGACTTCATTGCCGTCTCCTTTCCATTCACGCCACCCTAACGACTTGCTTCCATGCCCCTCAAATTCTTACTCTGTGCCCGTGAGGCCGTTCCTGTGCGTATCCGCCCGCGCTGTGTGCAGGGTGTCGGAGGAGGACGAGCGCACCACGCTGCAGGAGAAGCTGCAGGTGACGAGCGAGCGAATCGCCTTTGCCCGCAAGGTGCTTCAGCGCGCCCGGGCTCTTGCGGGGGACACCCCACTGGATGCTCTGGAGGCGAAGGTGAGCCAGCCTGTGCGGAGATGAGCCAACCTATGCGGAGATGAGCCAGCCTATGCGGAGATGAGCCAACCTATGCGGAGATGAGCCAGCCTATGCGGAGATGAGCCAGCCTAAGCGGAGATGAGCCAACCTATGCGGAGATGAGCCAGCCTATGCGGAGATGAGCCAGCCTATGCGGAGATGAGCCAACCTATGCGGAGATGAGCCAGCCTATGCGGAGATGAGCCAACCTATGCGGAGATGAGCCAGCCTATGCGGAGATGAGCCAGCCTATGCGGAGATGAGCCAGCCTATGCGGAGATGAGCCAGCCTATGCGGAGATGAGCCAGCCTATGCGGAGATGAGCCAACCTATGCGGAGATGAGCCAGCCTATGCGGAGATGAGCCAGCCTATGCGGAGATGAGCCAACCTATGCGGAGATGAGCCAGCCTATGCGGAGATGAGCCAGCCTATGCGGAGATGAGCCAGCCTATGCGGAGATGAGCCAGCCTATGCGGAGATGAGCCAACCTATGCGGAGATGAGCCAGCCTATGCGGAGATGAGCCAGCCTATGCGGAGATGAGCCAGCCTATGCGGAGATGAGCCAACCTATGCGGAGATGAGCCAGCCTATGCGGAGATGAGCCAGCCTATGCGGAGATGAGCCAGCCTATGCGGAGATGAGCCAGCCTATGCGGAGATGAGCCAGCCTATGCGGAGATGAGCCAGCCTAGCCTATGCGTAGATGAGCCAGCCTATGCGGAGATGAGCCAGCCTATGCGGAGATGAGCCAGCCTATGCGGAGATGAGCCAGCCTATGCGGAGATGAGCCAGCCTATGCGGAGATGAGCCAGCCTATGCGGAGATGAGCCAGCCTATGCGGAGATGAGCCAGCCTATGCGGAGATGAGCCAGCCTATGCGGAGATGAGCCAGCCTATGCGGAGATGAGCCAGCCTATGCGGAGATGAGCCAGCCTATGCGGAGATGAGCCAGCCTATGCGGAGATGAGCCAGCCTATGCGGAGATGAGCCAGCCTATGCGGAGATGAGCCAACCTATGCGGAGATGAGCCAACCTATGCGGAGATGAGCCAACCTATGCGGAGATGAGCCAGCCTATGCGGAGATGAGCCAGCCTATGCGGAGATGAGCCAACCTATGCGGAGATGAGCCAGCCTATGCGGAGATGAGCCAGCCTATGCGGAGATGAGCCAGCCTATGCGGAGATGAGCCAACCTATGCGGAGATGAGCCAGCCTATGCGGAGATGAGCCAGCCTATGCGGAGATGAGCCAGCCTATGCGGAGATGAGCCAGCCTATGCGGAGATGAGCCAGCCTATGTGGAGATGAGCCAGCCTATGCGTAGATGTGCCAGCCTATGCGGAGATGAGCCAGCCTATGCGGAGATGAGCCAGCCTATGCGGAGGTGAGCCAGCCTATGCGGAGGTGAGCCAGCCTATGCGGAGATGAGCCAGCCTATGCGGAGATGAGCCAGCCTATGCGGAGATGAGCCAGCCTATGCGGAGATGAGCCAGCCTATGCGGAGATGAGCTAGCCTATGCGGAGATGAGCCAGCCTATGCGGAGATTAGGCAGCCTAGACAGAGGTTCGTAAGTAGGTTGTCTGATGGGCCATTCTCTTGGTTCAGGAAATGAGGTCAGACTTTACAACGCATACGTTGGCGTGGCTGTTTAACACACACTCACACAACCTGTTTTCCCCTGGTTTCCTGTGCTTGTCATGTCACGGTGCAGGCATCGTACATGGAGACTCCCGAGTACAGTGCAGCCATGGCCAGCTTCACACCCAACCACCACCCCTCCGTGCCCTCCATTGGCAGCAGCACCTCGTCTGCTCGTAGCACCAGGCGATTCCGTCGCAGCAGTAGCGACACTCCTCTTGCCTCTACAAGAAGCAATCCCTCTGCTTCTGTCGTAACTGCCACTAGCGCTGGCAGTGTGAAGGAGCGGTTGTTTTCCAGGGCAGATTCAGAGGGCTCTTCCCCTCGCACGCCTCCGAAGACCTTCCGCGTGTTTACTGGCAGTAGTTCTGTGCATTCACCTGCTAGTCATGCCGCTGGTGATCCAAACCCCGTCACCACACCACCAAGAAGCCCGCCCCTCTTGAGAAGCTCTGCCCTCCCCTCCTCTGCAGCTATTGCCACTGCCAAAGAGGCTCGGGCTTCAGGCTGTGGTAACGACAGGGCTGTCAGTGACTGCTTTGATGGCTATGCTGACCAAGTGAAGTCGCAGCCAGGCAAGGCTGAGCACCATAGGAGTATCAGCCACGGGACAGGGGTGCTGCAAGCAGGGAAAGGCGGGCTATCGGCCAAGTTGAAAGGAGAGCGAAAGGCGGAAAAAGGGAAGGGTGTCGCGGAGGATGATTCAGAAGGAGAACCTTCGAAGGTGGTGGAAAGTGGAGATAAAGGGGAAAGGAGGGGTGAGGAGACCCATGCAGGCACCAGCTCACATTCTCAAACAGGGACCAGAGGATTTGGCCCTTCACGCCCTGAATTGGCAAAGCCAGGGGCAGGAAGAAATGCTGATGCTGGGGAGTATGCAGGCAGGGCTGCAAGGCTGGAAGGGCAAGGGGCGCTTGACTATCTGCACCTCCCTGCAAGCGCGGCTGCTGTGCCTGAGTATCCGATGAGACTGGTCGAGGTGACTGCGTATGGCGTGCAGGCAGGAGCGCAGACTGTTAAGAAAGGGATGGAGGTGGTGGAAGGGGTAGGGGAGGTTGCAGAGGAGACTTTGAAAGGGAATGGTCCATATGTTGGAGCAGTAAAAGTATTGGATGCAGAGGTACCGGCAGGGAAGATTGTGGAGGCGGTGAGGCATGTTGAATCCGCAGCAGCAGAGGTGAAAGGGATGTTGAAATCAGCAGCGAAGGCATTGTCCAAGGAGAAATTAGACGGGGCTGAAGCTGTGGCAGTTGAGGAAGGGGCGCATCAGGGGGAGGTGGCCAAGATGGCAGATACAGCAGCAGCCGCAGATGCAGCAGCACGTTCCGATGTCTCAACTGCAGCTGGGAAATCACCGGGTGTCTCAGGTTCAGCCGCTACAGCTGGAGGGCTAGCTGAGTGCGACACCTTTGCTCCTGGTGCATCAGCTGCTGCTACTCCTGACACATTGGCTCCTGTTACTCCTGGCGCATCCGCTTCTGCTGCTCCTCTCGCGTCCGCTTCTGCTGCTCCTGGCGCATCTGCTACTGCTGCTCCTGTCACATCTGCTACTGGTGCTTCTGGCGCATCTGCTACTGCTGCCACTGTGTCTGGTGATGGTGATGCTCCGACCAGTTCTGGTGGGGGGCCATGGCAAAGAGTTAAGCAGCGATTGGCGTTCATGAGTCAGGGCAAGGAGAAGAGAAAAGCACAGCCGCCGGAGCTGAAACAAGAAGTGAGCAATGGTGAGGACATGAAAGGTGGATATGATGGAAGAGAGGACAGGTCAGAGAGGCTTGTTCAAGGGACCAGTGGCGAGGAGATTCACAGGGTTCTCGATACAAATGAGGCTTTTGAGAAGGCTAGGGTCCTTTCACGCGTGAGGGAAGGATCAGAGGAGGGAAGTGAGGGAGAGGAGGAAGAAGGGGAGCTGTGCAGCCGCAGGGATGCAGAAAACGAGCAGGGTGTAGGCATGGGTGCTGGGGCGACTGGTAGTGATGCTGGGAGAAGCAGCGGTGACAGGGCAAGGGGAGCAGAAAAGGAGAGTTCAGGTGTGGTAGACGTTGAGGGAGGGGGAGAGACAGGTGCAACCCCGAGGGAGGACAGGCAGGGGCCAGGCGCAGCAGAGGAGCAGGGCCAAGGGGAGGCAGCAGAGAGCAGGAAAGGAGAGACAGAGGGAGATGGAGGAGGAGGAGGAGGAGAAGTAGGAGGAGGAAGTGAGAGGGTGGATGTGCCTGTGTCTGCATCGCTCCTTGGTTCCTCTCTGGCTGCTGCTCGCTTTGTCCTGGGGCTGAAGAGAGGCAAGGCCAGACGTGCAGCTGCTGTTAGTGAAGGGGAGCGTGGTTCTGAGATAGCATGTGTTGATGCTGAGGCACAGTCCCATCCTGCTGCTGATTCTACCTCTGGTGCTGGTAGTGCGGTTGCTGGTAGTGTGGCTGCAGGAAGCGGCGCTTCTGCTGCTGTTGCAAAGAGTAAAGACGCGGATGCTAGCTCATCTGGTTCTCTGGCTCCCCCTAATTCCGACAACGGGCATACACGGAAATATGCTGGTGGGGTTGAGGCGGATGCTGATGTCACCGATACTCATGTTGATGCCCATCCCAGTCAGCATGCTGGTACTAACACATATGGAGCAGTGAGTTGGGTACATTTGGCTGCCCCAACCGCCACCACGGCTAGTGTCGCCCAGATCAATCCTCGTGGTGACAGTAGCACCACTTCCTCTGCCTCTGTCGCAGCTACAGCTTCTGCCTCTGAGCCTCCTGTACCTACTGTCGCTGCTGCCTCTGAGCCTCCTGTAGCTACTGATGCTGCTGCTACTGAGCCTCCTGTAGCTACTGCTGGCGTAGCTGCCACAGGAAGTCTTATAGCCACAGATCCAGCTGTCACTGCACATGCATCTCCTGTAGAGACAAGTGCAGCTGTCCCTGCACCCCCTGTAGCGACAGGTGCAGCTGCCGCTGCGCCCTCTGGGTTAACTGCTGGTGCTGCCACAGGTAACAGCAGACAAACACAAAGCGGGCTCAAGTCAAGCAGCAGCATCAAAGTGTCATTCAAATCAGCTGCTGCACGAATCATGAAGTCTGCTGCTGCCAAGCCCAACAGACCCAAATTCTCTGAGGTGGTTTCTGGTGTCATGGCCGGTTCTGGTTTCACGGCCGATGCTGTTGCTGCCCTTGTTCCTACACCCGGTACTGCTGTTGCTGATGATCCTTTGCTGCCAGAAACAACAGTGGCAGCAAAGCTTAAGTCAACTATCCACCTGGAGTCTCTCTCCTCCTTTCCACCACTCAATCGCAACCGTACGCAAGCCACTCCACTCACTGCGCTGATACCAGACCCCAACACTCATAGTGCTGCTGCTGCTGCTGCCTCCCTCTCACCCTCCAGCCGCAGCCTTGATGCATCTAGCAGTGGTGGAAAGTCCATTGAAAAACTCTCCACAAATTCTGCCCTCGATGCTGCCGACGCTGCAACTATCGCTGCTCCCACCTCTGCTGTTGCAGCTGGTACTGCTGGCACTGCTGCTGCTTCTGCTTCTGCTGGTGTTGCTGCTGCTGCTGCTGCTGCTGCTGGTGCCTCTTTTGATGCAGCCACAACTGCAGCTGCCGACGCTGATTCGGCTGATTCTTTCCTGGCCTCCGTAAAGGCTCCTCTTGCTCCCGCTGCTGCTTCTGCTGGCTCCGGCACTGCAGAGCACAGCGGCAGTGAGCTGCAGTTGCATGAGAACGTCCCGCCTTTTGAGCCCGCTCAGTCAGCAGCAGAGGCAGAACACCACAGGTCCCGTTCAACTGAAGCGGTTCCAGCAGTGACAGAAGAAGCAACGGGAGCAGCAGCTGGCGAAGCAGCGGCATCTGAATCACCAGGCACTCCTGCTGGGCATCCCTCTGTTGATGACCCACCTTCAAACAGCTCCCAGCCGTTTCCTGAGCCGGGCGTAAGGCCTACCCGCGGTCGTGTGTCCTGGAAAGGTGTTGTGGACAAGGTTAGTGTTGGCACCACTGCTGCCGTGGTCAACACGGGGAAGAGAGTGACAGGAGCAGCATCAGCTCTTCACTCCGCCGCAACTGCTTTCCTTGACGGCACTTCAGAGAAAGTTCAGGAGAAGTTTCACGAGGCCCAGGAGGCGTTTGAGGAAGCAGAGGAGAGGGCGGGGGAGTGGGGGGCGGATGAGGGGTTTAAAGTGCAAGTGGGGGCGATGAGGACAGTGCGCTCTATGGAATCATTCTTTGGGAGACAGGCAGATAAGCTGGTGACAGCTTCCCGCGTTCCTGACATGGTCAAATATGCAACAACTGCAGAGCTCCGGGCACGCTGGCCCCATGACAGCTTCAGGTTACCGACGTCTAGAAGCGAGGGAGGCGAGAGTGTCGGGGACGGGGTAGATAGTGAGTTGATGCCTGTGCCCATGTTTGATGAGCTTCAAAACATGGCAGGAGCGGCAGCTGCCGCGGAGAGGGAATTTATCGGGAAAAATAGACCTTCTGGATTGGTGAAGAGTGCGAGTGTTGCGGCAGGGCAGATGGCAGCAGTAGCGAGGTTAGGTCAGGATGTGGTCGTGAAGGCTGGGTCTGTTGTGAAGGGAGCTGTTGGGAGCGCCCTTGCTGCCGGCTCGGAGACGGCTGTAGCAGAGGGTAAGGCCTTGAGGGCCGGGGCGGCTGTAGCGCTGAATGTTATGGGCGGGAGGCTGGGGGATATCAAGGAACACGCAGAGCAGGACTTGCAAGTGAGCCTCGCGGACTGGCGGAGACGAATGCAGGAGGCGGGGCTTGGGGCGGAGGAGGAGGAAGACATCAGTGAGTTGCGGCAGGAGCGGATCCATCTAGGCAACGAGGAGTACGACGCGGGGGCGATCGTGGGAGGCGACGTGACGATTCACGTGATCAAGGCGATGGATCTGGGGCTCCGGCCGGAGAAGACGCATCCGTACGCGGTGGTGCAGGTGGAGGGGCGGCGGCTGCGGTCGTCGGTGTGCAAGGGCACGGTGTGTCCGCAGTGGGACGAGCTGCTGGTGTTCAAAGGCGTGTCTACTGCGTCCAGCATGGCTGTTTCCATCTTCAGCAGCGAAACCATTGGCTCACACAAGTTCCTCGGGCAGGTGAGCTGTGGTGTGGAGCTGCTTCCCTTGCTCGCCCTTGTTCTACTTACAACACCCGTGGAGCTGTTTGCGGTGCCGTACTTGCTCGCTCGTGGCTGCGCTCTGGAATGAATTCCTACTCAACAACATATTCCACTCCCCTGCCCTGTTGCCCTTCCCCCCAGGTGGTGCTGCCGCTGGTGGACGGCAGGGCGCTGAACCGCGAACCTGGGTGGCACAAACTGAGTCGGCGCACGGCGCACGAGACGGTGACAGGCAGGGTCTTCCTGTCCACATCGTGGGATGCAACAGAGCTCGAGCTCATGGCGCTGCAGGTGGGTGGGTCAGTTGCACGTGCATGCATGCCTGTGTGGTGTTCTAGTCATGAAGTAGTGCCACTGCCACACCTCCCGGACTCACACCACTGCCTGTGCGCACATCTTCCCCTGCAGCAAGGAAGCGGAGCTAGATGCACTGGAGGAGCGGCTGGCGCAGGAGAGGGAGGCAAGGTTGTGACCGCAATAACAAGATAGTTGCTTCCCCTTCTGCCATTCCCCTTTGGCTGTATGTCCATTCGCCTGTGCAGCTGCGAGCCAAGGAGGCGGAGCTGGACGCACTGGAGGAGCGGAAAGCACACCTCCTTCCGTCATTCATTCCCTTCTTCCCCTTCTTCCGTTCGCCTATTCCTGTGCCCATTCACCCCTGCAGCTGCGTGCCAAGGAAGCGGAGCTGGATGCGTTGGAGGAGCGGCTGGCGCAGGAGAGGGAGGCGCGGCCGCGTGAGGCCGTCATGGCAGCAGAGGCCCTCGCCAACCCGCACGCGCTGCTTCCCCACACGCCCTCCGCAGCCCTGCGCACGCCCACAGGCGGGGGGCCCATGCTGCGCCGCATGTTCACTCTGCGTGGCCATGGCCCCGGGATGGGTGTGGGCGCCTCCTCTGTGTCGCCTGGTGCAGTGCAACAGCATGCTGCCAAGGGGCAGCTCAAGGTTAGAGGGGGGGCATGGGGTTGCGAGAGGTGATGATGGAACGGAAGCTTGTGAGTTAATGTTTGTTTTTTGTTACAATCCGAACAGTACATGCCAGGCCCGCCTCTCCTTTCTCTTTCCCGGCCAGGGGACAGTGCCAGCAGAGTGGCTGCACTCAAACGCCAAATCCCACCTCTGCCTGCACTGCACTCCTTCTCTACTCACCAATCAAATCTACTCACCTCTCTCTACTCACCGCTCTCTACTCTCTCTGCAGGTGAAGGTGGTGGAGGCGAGGCACCTGGCAGTGCCGGCGGAGTGGCTGCGCTCGGTGCACCGAATGCACGCCTTCGCCGCACTCTCTGTGGTGTCCCCCGCGGGCACGAGCACGCTGCCTGTGAAGACGCGCATCATCAAGGGCAGCTTCTTCCCCAAGTGGAACGAGACTTTCAACATCAACGATGTCGCTCTCACCTCCTCGCTGCGTGTGCAGGTAAGGTTGGAAGGGTCAGGTGGTTCTAATCCAGGTGTAAGCTGGGTCAGGAGGTCCTAGTGCAGGTTCGAACTGGTCAGCTGGTGCTGGTGCAGTTGTGACTTGGGTCAGGTGGTGGTGGTGGTGGTGCAGATTATTGCAATCAATGGCTGGTTAAGCTGGGGCAATCGTGCCATCTCGTGTCAATGTTTAGCCTTGAACTCAGATATTCGACCTTGATTCACTAGCAAAGATAATCGGCTTCGTTTCTTTTCAGACCTCCAACACCCCTCTCGTCTGTTCTTACCTTGAATTATTTCCTTGCCGGCCCACTGCACATCCCTCTCACGTGAATCACCAACTTTCGTTCCACCCTCCTACCCATGCCCCATGCGTGCATCCCCTGCAGGTGTTTGACAAGCCAAAGCTGGGCAGCCCGAACCTCCTGGGCGAAGCTACAGTAGATGTCACCACCTTCAAGGTGCGGCCGTCAGCTACACTCAGGCCCAAGCCGTGCCCATTTCGTTTTCCTTGTAACATGTGTTTCGGTGCTCATTTTTGACAGCGGCTAATCTTGCCTTGTGTTTTGGCTGCTGTTCTCCGTCTGCTGTTTCCCAGGATGGGCTGCCACAGTACATGCTGCTGACTCTCAAGCGAAGTGCAGGGAGAGAAGGGGTGCGTAAACTGCCTGCTCTGCTCCTTCTTCCTTATCTTTCACCTGCGTCTCCTGTCAACCTATTGTTCCCCATTCATCCCCTCCGGCCCTCGCCCTTAACTCCCTATTCTTTCTTCTCTTCCCTTCCTCAATCTCTGACCATCTTTACTAAAGCTTGCACCTTGTTTCGACTGCATGCCGCCCATTCTTTCTGTCAATTGCAGGAGCAGGAGGCTGTGGGCGGCAGCATTCGCCTTCGGGTGCACTGGATGGTGGACCATGGGAAGAAGGCAGAGGAGAAGACTGGAGTCAACTTTATGGTAAGACAGAATGCTCCCATTCTTTCAATTCTTCCATCTCCTTGAAGCTCTCTCTTGCATCTCATCCTCCTCCAATCTCCTCCTCACCAGCGTCAGCGTCCTCACCAGCGTCTCCCTGGGCCATCTATCCCCTGCCCATTGCCCCTTAGTTTATCTACCTACTTTCCTCGTTTCCTCCCTCCCTTCTGCCAACCTGTGTGACGCATCCGTTTGGGTCATGCTCTTTCTAATTCCACTCGTTTCCCGCTCCCTCCCTCCCCATTCCCCCCTCCCCCCCCAACACCTGCCAACCGCCCCCAGTTGAACCTGCATGGGATGACCGTGTCTGTAGTGGACCGCCTGCCTCGTGAGATCATGCTGGTGCTGCTGGAAGACATCTGCTGCTCCTGGGAGGAGTCGGTGAGCTGCACGGGCACAGGAGGGGACGGGGGGTAGAGTGGGGGAACAAGGGGGGTTGGCTAGGCTAGGCATGTGTGGAGGTGGTGGGATTTGGGGGTTATGTGCGTGACATCATGCTGGTGCTGCTGGAAGACATTTGCTGCTCCTGGAAGGATTCGGTGAACCACTGAGCCGCACGGGCACAAGGGGAAGGTGGGGGAGGCAGGCATGGGGGCTCAGCTGGCTAGGAATAACGGCTAGGCTGCTGAAGGCACTAGGTGAGGGTGTGAGGGCGGATGCGATGTCGATGAGACAGGGACAGAAGAGGTGAGGCTGGAAAAAAATTCTGGATGCCATTGGAGAGGCGAGCTTTAGGAGGTTTATGTCAGGTGTAAGTACAATGGTGACGATTTCTTCATCTTCTTCTTCTTCTACGCAGAGTGCTCTTGAGTATCATCTCCTGTGCTCTACATGCGCACTTCGCTTTCTTTTTCTTGTCTCCTTATCTCTCCTCGTCTTCACCCGGGGAGCAGGTGAAGGAGGTGGCGGGCAAGGCGGAGGTGGGAAAACTGCAGGTGGAAAATCAGCTGCTCATTCCCACCACCCCTTGCCATGCTCCCTTCCCAATTCCCATCTGCCCCACTTCCCCCCTTCCTTCCTGGCACACGATTGATGGGGAGCAGGTGAAGGAGGTGGCGGGCAAGATGGAGGTGGGCAAGCTGCAGGTGGACAGCCAGCTACTCACACCAACCTTGCCACATACTCCCTCCCCAATTCCCATTCGCTCCCTTCCCCTCTTTCCTTCCCCTCCTCCTCCCCACCTCCCTCCCCTTCTCCTTTCCCTTCTCCCATCCCTGCCTGATACACGGTGCATGGGGAGCAGGTGAAGGAGGTGGCGGGCAAGGTGGAGGTGGGCAAACTGCAAGTGGACAACCAGCTGCTCACTGCTCGCAACCCTGTCGTGCTCTCTCGCACCCAGGTCAGACCCCCTTATCTTCTCTCACGTCCTGATCAGATCCCGCGTGCCCTGTCCCACCCCTGCTCAGATTCCCCTGGTTCCGCCTCCTCCCGTTCTCTCCCCTCTCTGTTTTAAAAGTCGACAAGTTTCTAGCACGAGCATCGATGCTTGTTAACAATCTCACTCAACACCCTCCCCTTATCGATCTCTTCCACCCTGTACCACCGGTCCCTTTCCTCCCTCTTCCCACCACGCCACCCCTCTTACGCTTCCCACTCGCTCGTCCATTGTCCGCCAGGCCTTCCCAGGGGAGGCACTCTTCCTGGAGCAGGGCAAGGAGCTGGCGAACCAGGCATCGTAGCCAACCTAGGCTCATTCTTCCCATACCCCCCGCCCCCTGCCCCCATTCTCCTCATTCTCTCCCAGGCCTTCCCAGCAGAGGCGCTCTTCCTAGAGCAGGGCAAGGAGCTGGCGAACCAGGCATCGCTAGCCGGCATGCTGAGCACGGATCCCAAGGAGAAGGAGAAGGCGTTTGTGTCAGTGGAGTTCACACGCCTGCTGCAGCACCCCTCCATCGTCTACTACCGCCGCTTCCTCTTCCAGCTCCAGGAGTTCGACCTGGTTCTGGAGGAGGATTTCGTGGATACTGCAGTGGCGTACCTGCAGCAGCTGCCCATGGAGGACCTGTGGCAGGATAAGGATAAGCGGGGCGGGGAGGAGGAGGAGGAGAAGAAGGGCGACGAGGATTTAGTCGAGGATATGGCCGGGGCTCCCATCACCAGGACTTACCTGGTCAGTGTGGAACTCATGCTGAAACGTTTTCATCTCTGTGCCATGGGGTTCTGCCGGCCGGCGGCCTTTGCAACCTACCTACCTCAACCTCTCTCGCTGCACCGCACCTGTTTTCTCTCAAAATACCCTCAGTAAAAGCATATTTTACCGCTCACCTCTTCCTCCCCTCCATGCCCGCTCTTCTCCCTCCCCCTCTCTCCAGACGCGTGACACCACCGTGGTGTCCCCGATGTCCCGCCGGCACTTAGTTAAGTCTGAGCCGTTGGAGCCGTTAGTGAACAGCAGCAGCTGGGTGGCGGGCAACCAGGGCCTGCGGTGGTACTTTGAGCGCTTCCAGGTGCAGTCGATGCGCATCAACGTCACGCTCGTCATGAACCCCATCAAGAGCGACGCACCGCCGCCCTCTGGCAGCAGCTCCGAGTGGCACCTCCGCACCACCGCCTCCTCTGCTGGGTTCCCGCTCATCTCGCTCACCCGAGCCCCGCTGAGGCTCAACAGGTGGGTGTCTGGTGCTGGACAACGTGTTTCAGAAGCAGACCACACTGCGGACGTATGTGCTGCTGCCTTTTCTGAAACTCCCTCCCTCCTGCATAAGTGTGCTATGACCCGCCTCCCTCCCTTTCCTTCTCTGCATGTGGCAGTCTTGTGCTCGACAATGCGTTTCAGAACCAGAGCACGCTGCAGACGTACGTGCTGCGCCACTACGGCGTGCAGCTGCTGCAGGGCCTCCACAAGATCCTCGGCTCCGTCGAGCTGCTCGGCGCCCCGGTATGCCCCAATAGAGTGGAGTGGCCAGGCCTGATGAGGGTCGACAAGGTTGCTTGCGCGCTCAAGGCTGCGGGACGAGGAGCCTCAGCGCTCTTCAGAGGCACAGCAGACAAGCTCGTCATCGAGAAGGAGTCATTGGGGCTGGCAAGGAGATAAGGAGTCAGTTGCATGGCACGCCACGGCGGCACGGCGACCCAACGCAAGTCTGAAAAGGCGACAGGACTTGTGAGAGATTGCGAGGCTGAAAAAAACGGCTTAAGAAGATGAGTCAGAGCTGGATAGAGTGAGTCAGAGCTGGTCCCACTCTATCCAGCTCTGACTTCATCTTCTAAAAAAAAATCTTCAGCCTTGCAATCTCTCGCGAAACCTGTCGCCTTTTCAGCCTGGCGTTGGCCCGCCGTGCCTCTGTGGCGTGCCATGCAACCGACTCCTCGTCTCCTACCGGCCCCAATGACTACTTCTCGTTGACAGTCTTGTCTGCTGTGCCTCTGAGGAACGTTGAGGCTCCTCGTCCCGCAGCCTTGAGCGCGCAAGCAACCTTGGCGGCCTCCATCACCTCTCCACTTCTTTTCGACTCCTCCATCCTCTCTGCCTTCTTTTAACCGAACGCCATCAAAACTATGTTTTTTGAACTTCTGTCCCTCCATACAACACCCCTGTGCCCCAAATGCGACCTTCCCCAGCTATCCCTGGTGGACAATCTCGCCACGGGAGTTATGGACTTTTTTGTTGAGCCCGCCTCTGCGACCACGTGAGTGAATGCCGTACCCCTCGCCCTCCTGAACCTTGCATACTCGTCACGTCCCGCTCCCATTCTCGTCACATGTTTCCCTCTGGTAATGGTTCTCCCATGCCTTTCTGAACGGAGTCTGTCCGCCCTCTTCTCCTCGCAGCCCCTCTCACTCCTTGAGGGCTTTACCAACAGGGTGGTGATTGATAGGCACAGCGAGCGTGGTCAAGTCATGAAGTCTCAAAACTTTCTCCCTTTGCCCCTGAGCTTATCCCGCTCCCCTTGTCCTCCTCTCCCTGTCTTACCCTCCCTAACACCCCTCCCTCTTCCTATCTGCACCGTCCCCCTCCGCCCCTCCTGGCAGGCCGGAGGAGTTTTTGAGCGGGGCGGTGAAGGGCACGGTGAGTCTGATGAAGCACTCGTCGTACGGCGTGCTGCACTCCATCAGCTCCCTTGCTGGCGGCATCGGCTCTGGCTTCGCCAAGCTCACCTTTGACGACTCCTACATACAGAGGTACGACTCCTACATCCAGAGGTACACTGGAGGGCACTGATTGACTGAAATATGGAGGTAGCCTCTTGGTAACATGTGTTTTCTTTGCAGAGACTCTGCAAAACTGGAGGGTGCCATTACCACACACACATTAATACCACTCTTTTACCAACCCAAGCTTTCCACCCAATCCCCTTTCCTATCCCCCGCCGACAACCCCTCCTCCAACAACCCCCCTTCAGGTTCAGCCAGCGACCGGAGGGAACATCACAGCAGGTGCTGCGAGGAGCGCAGGACGTGGGGCTGGGCTTCGTGGGGGCGGTCACAGGGCTCGTGCTGCAGCCGCTGGAGGGCGCACGCAGGGAGGGGGCCGTGGGCGCAGTGAAGGGCGTGGGCAAAGGGGTGGTTGGGCTGGTCACCAAGCCGCTGTCGGGGCTGCTGGGGTTTGCGTCGACGCTGACTGAGAGCGCCGGCACAGGGATCCGGGCGATTGGGGGGGATGTGTCAAGGCGGACTGTCCCGCGCATCCGACTTCCGAGCACGTTTGGGCGAAACGATGCGATTGCGGTGAGTCGAGACTGGTAAACGTGATCTGACTGATTGTTTATTTATCTATTTCGACACCTATTTTTCTCGTGTTACTCATAATTTTTGCTGCTCTACTTTCATCGCTCCCTCCTTACCTCTGGTGTTGACCACCCTCGACTTTAGCCGCTATCGCTGTGAGCATCGCTTTCACAACTTCCACTCCCCCAAAACTCCTGCCACCCTTCTCCCCCTTCCCCCCCCTCTTCCCCTTTTCAGCTGGAGCCAGAGGACAGTGTGGAGCTGAAATTGGTGTTAGCCATCCTGAACTCTGGGCAGTACAGCGACGAGCACCTCTTGCACTCCTTTCCACTCCCCCAACTCCCTACTTCCCTCCAACTCTTCCCCCCAGCTCGAGCCAGAGGACAGTGTGGAGCTGAAGTTGGTCTTGGCCATCCTGGACTTTGGGCGGTACCGTGACGAGCACCTGTTGGACCATCTGCAGACGTCGGGGCGCAAGGCAGTGCTTTTCACCGTTGCGCGCCTCATCTTCTACGACTGCCAGCGCAACGTCTTCTACTGGCAGATCCCCCTCAAAGGTGGGACCATTACATGCTTGCGAATCCCCGTTCTTTTCTGTACCTATCTGACTTGCACTAATACGTTTCCTGTTCCCTGCTTCCTCCCCTTCCCCTCCCCACGTCCACCCTGGGCGCAGACATAACCTCAGTGATGGGAATGGAGGGGCGGCTGGAGAGCATAATCCTGTACGATGCGGATGTGGTGATCGCCAGCAAGAAGCTTCCTCTGCGCGTGCCCGCACGCAAGGTCATCAAAACCACCACCCGCGAGCTCCACATGGCACTCTTAGTTAAGCTCAACAGACACTTAGCCCGCATTCGCACAGAACTCCCTTCCTCCTCCTCTCCATCGACTCCCCGCCACGCATCCCGTGAGCCTGTTGCTGCTGGCGCTGCTGATTCTGGGTCCCTCTCACCCTCTCGCGGCCCCTCTGCTAGCTCCTCTCCTGCTCCCTCTCCCTCCACCTCCCTCCCTTCCCCACTCCGCCTTGCTCAATCCCCTGGGAACGTGTCTGAGCTGAGTGCTGGTGGTGGCAAGGCAGCAGGGAGGCCTGGAAAAGCAGCTGATGCTGGCGTTGACAATGGGGCGAGCAGTGGTGGTGGTGAGACCTCCGGTGGTAGAGCAGGGAGAGCCCATAACAGGAAGCAGTCATCTCTGTCAAAGGCGTTGACATTGCAGAGGGAGAAGCAGGAAGAGGATGAGAAGGCAGAGAAGGAGGAGGAAGGGGCTTCTGAGGCGGCTTATGTGTTGAGTGTGTCGGGTGGAGCCACTGCTGCAACGGCAGCAACACGTTGGAAAAAGCAAGCCAATACGAGAGATGGTGCTGGGGGAGCAGCTGACAAAGGCAAGTCTCCTGCCGAACTGACTCACAGCCGCTCAGCTCCAGCCAGAGCCAGGAAAAGCAGCTTTCGCAGGGGCAAAGGAGGAGGTGGAGGAAGAGGTTACGATATGGGCAAGCACGCTGTTATACATGAAGATGTGGATGTGGATGCAGCACATGTGGACCAGGACGACAGTGACGAGGATGATTATAGCGAGGATGCAAATGGTGTGGTGGCAAGGGTGGCTCAATTGGATAGGGAGGAACGGCAGGAGGTGCGGCGGAATCTGGATGCGATACTGACGACTTGCCAAGTGGCGATTGCAAGTGCTGGTGGCCGATCAGACCCTGCTTCAGCTTTGGTTTCTGTGAAATTTCTCGCACTTGCGGCGTATTCTCGTGTACAGTCGCATAGGGCCCACCAGGCCACGTTAGGAGCAAGAGCGTTGCAAGGGGTGCAGAGGGGTGATTCGCAATGGGAGGAAGATGTGTCGGCATTGCTTCGCACAATGGTGGCTTTGTCTGAGGGTGGTGAGACTGGTTCGTTGAGAGACCAGTCTCAGATCTTGGGAACGCTGGAGGCAATCTGCCACCAAGCCATTGGCCGGGTCTCTAGCCATTGATATGAATAATTATTGTACGGCTCAACTGCATTTTGCTAAGCTCTTAAGGCTGTAGGCCATGACATAATTTTCTAGAAATTTAAGACCTGTAAGTAGGTGGGAAGGCAGGGAATTGGTAGGCTTGTATGTAGGTCTAGTGTCCTGTGATTAGTGAATCAGTGTACATGTGTACTTTCGAAGGAAGCACTGTGACACGTCAGCCTCGATGTCATCCAGCCCAGATTTTGTCACGAGACTCCTCACCCTGCACACTCGTTTTCCCGCTTTCGCCTCAAAGCCACAACACGCGGACTTCTCTCCGCTAGCCTCCTCTAACAGAAACTATTTCCCGGGAAGTGAATGGCATACTGTACTTTCTCTCAGTGCTTGGGTAGAATCAAGGCCAGCGACCTAAGGTGGTCTGTGTAGGTCAGGCGGTCTTGTGTAGTTTCTTCTTATCCGGACGATCCATGGTCATGCAGTGCATATAAACACTCTTCGAACTTACAACATCGCATCCCATAAGTTTCGTTGATAAACGAACCAGACTGTCACTACTCTCACCCCAGGGGATCGTCGTTCTATGCTCCTGTGAATCGTTCAGCCATTTCCGTTCTTGCCGAGGAAGTCTTATCAGCTCTCGTTTCCTCTTTAGCAACCATCGTCGTTGTTCTCTGCGGTGCCATGACCGCGTGTGCCTGCCTCTCGCGCGTTGCGATCCGTGGTACGACGACGCTTCCTTCCGTCGCCTGCTGCCCGCGCCGACAGCAACAACAATCGCTCTCGCTCCGGAAACACAACGAGCATGCGTTACTAAGCGTCGCGTGCGAAAAACGAAGTCGGTCTCAATATAAAGACGTCGGGGCGGTGGGGTCGTCAACACGGCGGTGTTGCGGTGCAGTGCGGTGCTCCGCCGCGTCAGCCGATGATCCAAGGGCCACGATTCCTTCCGTCGCGACCGTATCTGGCGAGAATGGATCGCTCAAGGTTCGCAGTTAGTTTCCTGCCTTCCTGACTTCCTGCCTTCCTTGATCTCCCTTAAGTCAGCCCTCATCCTCCCCTTCCCTAACTTAGCAGAGGGAGGATGAGGGCTGACTGAAGGGAGACGCCACAGCTTTCTCTGACCCTTCCCCTCACCTCACCATGCCTACCATCACCCACTGTACAACGCACGCAGAACCCGAGTCAAGCTGTGAGGCAGAGGCCAGCTCTTTGAGGCTCCTCAGGAGTGAATATCCTTCGTCCCACCGTCCGCCACCCCACCTTCCTACGCACTATGCTCGAGTCAAGCTGGCAGGTAGGGTTTGAGGCTCTTTAAAATTGTTCATCTGTGCCTCACCATTCCCACCACCCCACTGGCCAACACGCAGAGCACGAGTCAAGCTAGC